GTTTAGTATTAAGTAAACAAAAGGTGATTTGAAATGCTAAGCAGGATACCAGTCATTGTCACATCACAGCCAGGTCTGGCTCCCTGCCCCTCTTTTTCAAGCTTCTTTATCTCTCTGGGCCCCTTCTCTCTGCCTTCCTCTGGTGTTCCCCAAGTGTGGGAATCACATCTCAACCCTTTCCCCTGTGTTAACTACTTTAGTGTGTATGTATTCAGCTTAATCATACAACTACATGGCTCAGCCTGTGAAGATATACAGGGGATTCAGTACCATTTACCTCCTACCTGCTCCAAAGGACCATGCCCCAGCTCCCAGTTTTATTTGCCAAGTCAGAAATCCCAAGAGACTACTGACAGCAAATGGAAAGCAAGATGAATCAGTTTAGCCAAAGGAAGGGCTTCAGGGTTGCTGGAGGTGCTGGTGTGCCTTCGTTGTGGACCCTCCAACAGTACTTAACTAAACTGCAGACTAGCCAGAGAGCCTGAATGGGAAACTTTGACTTTGAGCTTGCTTCTATGAAAAAACAGTTTCACCATTTTTTAAAATTTGGTTAATAACAAAATTTTGTCACATTTGTCATTTTCTTCTAAATTTTTGATTTTCCCTTGTCCAAAAAAAAAAAAAAAAAAAAAGAAAGAAAGAAAGAAAATAAAAAGAAGAAAAAAAGAAAAAGAAAAAAGGGAAAGAAAGAAAAGAGAAAGATTTGCTTTGGAACTACTCTTAGATATTCACAAAAGGACAAGATGAAGCACACAATTCCCTTTAGCTAATCCAGTGTGTGTGACCTAGGATTGCATACCTCTGCATTCAGCTATAAGAAAGGGTGTGTTGAGCACCCTGGACCCGAGGGCAGCTTAGCAGACAGGATCTGTGTCCTAACAGAAAGCAGAGATATAGGCCATAAGAGGTAGATGCCCAATTTGTTAAAACGTGTGAAATAATGCTATGCTAGCCAAATTTTTACATTTTTACAGTGGAAAAAAAAATCACTTTTTTCCCCTATGGAAAGGATTTTTTTCCTTATAACAAGTGCAAATTCCAGGGCTTCAATCTCAAAGAATCAACAAGATAAAGGCTTGAACGTGTGTGTGTGTGTGTGTGTGTGTGTGTGTGTGTGTGTGTGTGTGTGTGTGTGTGTGTGTGTGTGTGTTGCAAGATCTACAGGGCATCTGTGCCCTCCCGGTATCTTACTGCAGAATTATAGTGCACTAAATAGCACCCCAAACCCAGCCCAAGTCACTTGGAAGAGTATGGTGCTGATGGCATGGCGGCTTCACCCCTGCAAGTGAGGAGAGGGTGAAGGCAAATACTACTAAGCGACGTTAAGTCTCAAGTGGTTGTATTTTATGTTTGTTTATATGTTTTTTACATGCAGAAGATTGAAGTTTGAGCATTTCCCCCTTGCTATTGTGTTAATTCTCCATTGAGGACGAGCCCGCGGTGGGCATTATTCCGAAGCCCTTGCTTTGCAATTACCTTCGGGGTTGTCCTTTCAGGACAGTGTCCCCTAGGCTCACTACCTAGCTGCGACCCCTGGCGCTCCCCGCTACCCCCCCCCCCCGCCACCGCCACCCTAAGTCAGGCGAACCGCTGCCCCCGCGCCGCCTTTAATTTCGCAGCTCCGACCACCGGAAGCTAGAGCGAGGCGGGGGCCGGAGCGGGGAGGACGCGCCCACCGATGCCACCGGCGCCCGCGGGACGCGCCGCCAGCCGGCCCTTCTTCGCTGGGCTCGGCGCTCGCCCCACCTCTTCCAAATTTAACTGTTACCTAAATCCGAAGGGAAATGAGCAAACCTCTGGGATTGGGTGTCAAGGTATTTTCAGCTTCGTTGGGCGTATTTATCCTGAAGTGTTTCCATAACACAAGCTATTTCGGGGCCGCGGCGCAGGTTTCGCTCTGCGGACGCGGTGACCACCAGCCGGGCTCCAGGCCGGCGGCACCGGGGTCCGGTGATTCACGGCCGCGATCCGGGGGCGTCATGGCTCAAGCGGGCAACAGGGTTGGGGTGCTCACAGCCAGAGGAGACAGGGAGGCCTCGTGCGAGCTGAGTTCCCCCAGCACCCGCCGCTTCCATCGATCTGTGTCCTGAATCTGTGACTTCTAGCTGCGGAAATCTCCAGGAGCCAAGAATACTTCGATTTTCTTTCTAGCTATTTCTGGGTACTAAGACCTCCCTGGTCCTCCTTAGATAGCCCCTGGTTCCATAGACAAACAAATGGGGAGAACTGCTCAGGGGTGCCCAGGAAGTTCGCCCCAAGAACGCCCCATCTCCTCCCTGACCCCTTGCACAAAGGAGGCTTATGGCCCATCGCCTGGGGGATGGGATTGGTCTGAGAGGGCTAGTGAGCGCCTCTAACGCTCAGGAAGTGAAGTTTGCGGTTTTGGGGGCTGAGCTCCAAAGGAGATTAAAAAAAAAAATCAGAAAGACAGATCAGTCTCTCCCGAAAGCAAGGTTCAGTTTGCACACTCTCAGAGCTCGGTGCCCGCGCCCTGACCCCGCAGGTAGGTTTGCTGAGCTGCTGTGCCTCCCGCCCATGCGGGGGTGGACTGGTAGGAGGACACTGACACTATGGGGACGTCCCGAGAGCGCTGGCAGGTCCCCACCTGCTGCAGAGCTCCGGGGTTTGGGTTCTGAAGCCACCAAACTGGTGGAGCGAAAGATCTGGTAGGGGGCACACGGCCTGGAGACTAGATAGGGGAGTGGGATCCACGTAGGAAGTAGCCCTCTGGTGGGTATGTGGCGGCAGCTGGGCTCTGGATGCGGGCGCCTTGCCTTCGGGTCCCTAATTCCCGGCCTCTGATGACCAGGGGAAGCCTGGCGGGCCCTGGTGCCAGGAGCGTGCCGCCCCGCCCCCCTGCACGCCAGCTGCAGCACGAGGTTGCCTTCCCACGCGTTGGGCCTTGGGCCTTGCCATCCCCCTACCCCTCCTACCCGGAACCAGCAAAGCCCTCCAGGGTGCTCTAGAAGTGTAGGTTTGCGGCTGCAGGAGGACGTGTCTACCGTGTGTGTCCCGCGTGGTTGCTGACGCGCAGACTCAGCGCGGGATCATACAGCCCTTCTTCCCACGGGTCTAGTTCCTGGCCAACGCGGTCCCGAGTCTCACCGAGGCCTCCAGGACCCTTGCTCTGTTTTCCTTCTCTTCATGCTTGCTTTAAAAATTGTCTTTTGGTTGGAGCGTCTGGCTGTACAGTCAGTCGAGGAGTGCTGGAAAAATTTCAGCGGTAGAGCCCGGGTCCTGGAAGCCAAACCCGACTAAGTAGTGTGGCATGCTCGTCCAAGGCCTTCTGGAGCCTAGATCTCTGGCAGCAATTTCCAGCATTCCTTTTACCCCCACTCCACCGGGGAAGACCACACACTAGAGTTGGGGATCTGGAGCAGGTGTTGTAATTTTTAAAAAGTGGCTCGAGAGAGAAAGACGCCATGCTACAGAATTCAAGTTGAGGTGTTTTTATTAGGGAAAGGATGGTAAAAAGGGGAAAGGAGAACGGACTTCCAGGGACCGGAGCAGTGGGAGAGAGGAAAGGGGAGAGGGTCAGGGAAAGAGAGGGAGGGAGGAAGGTGGGAGGTGGGGAGGACCCTTTTAAAAGGGGACATGGTGAATAGGCTCAGGTGGTGCTCTTAGTGGCTGCACTAAGGCGTATCCTGTCAGAACCTCAAGGACAGACAGTACAGACGCCTGAATACTAACATCAGGGATCCCTAGACTCCTTTTGAGTGGGGCCTTAGGTGTGTTTGGTAGTAGACTGTGGAAGCAAAGCGGTTCCGATTCCGTAGTCTAAACCGTAGGAAATCCAAGGACCATAGGCGCACATCGGTCTGGACTTCCCTGCGCCCTGCTCTCTGAACCCGCCAGCCGTTCCCGCCGGCTTGCGGTCGACTCCCCTGCGCCTTGGACCTTGAAGGCAGGCGGAATCGTTCAGCGTTGGGCTCCTAAGGGGGCGGGGCGGGGGTGGGCAGAGCCGACCTGGAGTGGGGACGCAGTGGCAGCCCCGCCTCCCTCCGGGTTCAGGTTTCGATCCGAGATTAGTTGAACTGATTGGGGGTTAATGAGAGCGACACCGGCTCTCAGTCGTGCTGGCTCTGGGGACCCCAGCCTCCTGGCCACTGCTCACTCGTGCACGCTTCTGTTTCACCTTGCTGGCCCCCTAAAGCGTTGATGCTCCACGGATTTGGGCGCCGCGTGTTTGGCAGTCTGTGCACACGCAATTCAGACTCAACTTCCCTAGGACAAGATAATTGGTGAGCAGATCGGAAAATGCTTCTTCGAGGTACTTAGTTGCAGAGGCGAGGCTTGGGGGTCTGGATGCTTCACAGTGGTCTCTCCCCTGGCCAATGCCGGCACCATCGCTGGCTTGGAGGCTAACTTTTTCCAGTGGACGTTTCTCTTGGGGCAGACCCTTCTCTTTTGCCACCCCCTTCACTTTCCTGTCTCTCTGGCTTCCTGCCTTTCTGCTCCAGCTTCAGTTTCACATAGTCGCCAGACAAACCAATCCTTCAGTCCTGCCTAGCATGCCCCTCTTTAGCTTGCTTATCGTGGATCTTGGCTCTCCAGGGTCCTTCCGGGTCCCAACCACTGATTGCACCCTGACCGCTTAAACTAAAGTCATTCACGCGTCCCAGTCGGTCCCCTCAACCCAGAAGGGACCAGGAGAGCAATGCAGAGTTGGTTTGGGATAACGGACTACTCTGGAGAGTGATGAGAGAGCTTTGCTAGGGGAAAGGGAGGGGGCTGAGGCGTGGGCGAGGCAGAGCAAAGAGACCTGGGCCAGAGCCCGGGGACAGGTTTTACCACTGAGCTGTGGCAGTGGCAGGCAGCAGAGGCCTCGCGCCACCTGTCCGAGTGCCACCTGGTGAGCGAGGCGCTTGGGGGCCAAGCCCCTCCTCCCGAGGGCCTCCCTCTCTCCTCTCTCAGCCTGGGTGCGGTCTAGAGCCGCCATCAGTGCTGACCCGCATTTCCACCTGGATCTCCCCTCCTCTTAGACTTTGGAGTAACCTCAGGCTAACCGAGGGTCCAAACATTCATCCAGTGGCTGGCCACCATGCCGCGTTCCTTCCTGGTCAAGAGCAAGAAGGCGCACAGCTACCACCAGCCGCGTTCCCCGGGGCCAGACTACTCCCTCAGTCTGGAGACTGTGCCCGCGCCCGGCAGAGCAGGTGCGAGGCGCGGTGGGACCGGGCGGGCAGCTGTCAGGGACGCCGACTCTGCTCCAAGCCACCTCGCTTCCTAGATCCAGCGGAGGCTACCCCAACGCCCCTCGCGTGCTTTGTTTGTTTCCTAGTGCTTCGGTTCTGCCGAGGTTGCCAGAGATGTCCCTACCGCACATAGTCTGCCCTTGAATCTGGGAGGGCTCCCGGCTGGGTCCACAGTGGAACCATTTCAGCTCAGCCAGGCTCAGGTTTACTTCCCTCCTGACTCCTCTCCACAGATGACCCTGTGAGTGCAGGCGAGGAGAAGAATGAACCCCAAGACCGTTTGTCCCCCGACTCTCAGCTAACCGAAGCTCAAGACAAAGCCTCTACGTCCCCTGACAGCTGCGAAGGCAGCATTTGTGACCCGAGCTCCGAGTTCGAGGACTTCTGGAGGCCTCCTTCTCCCTCGGTTTCTCCAGGTAAGGACCATTTTTTCGAGGCCTTGTGGCAGAGGTCCGGGGACCTCCCCCCCCCCCCCCGCAGTTCATAAGGAGGTCCACACAAGAGAAGCAGAGAGCTGTTTCCTAAGGGAACTGGGTCCAGGGGGAGGCAGCCAGTCTTTCCCTAAAAGTGTACTCTGCCTCCTAAGACTGTTGGTCCAGAGTAGTCCTTAATTCGTTTGTAACTGATCAAGGCGACAAAACAGCCAGTCCTCTAATCTGGCTGGCATTTTTTTTTTTTTTTCCTGACCAGAATTCATTGTTTCTAAAGTGTCAGACACGACAGTTAGGGAACCTGCATGGGACCGAACTAGATCCTCAGAATGTGGGTGACAGTTATGTGACTTGATCTGTTGGGAGTGGTGGCTGGCAGTGGCGCCAGGACCTATCCTGAATGCATGAACTGGTTTTTGGAGCCCATTCCCTATAATGGGATACCCTGCTAGCCTTGGGAGAGAGGCTTGGTTCTCCTGCCTGAACTTGGTTTGCCAGACTTAGTTGACTCCCCAAGGAAGGCCTAACTCCCTATGGGAGTGGGAAGGGGGGGCAAGAAGAGGGGGGAAGGGGGCAAGAAAAGGGGGGAGGAAGGGGGAACTGGGGTTGGTATGTAAGATGAAAAATAATTTTTTTAAATAAAAAAGAAATGTCAGATTCCAGAATCCAGGATGCAGACACAAATACCTCAGACAAGAGACCTGGGCAGTCTGAGCAGGGCAGAGCTGGGTGCCACACTTGGAAAGCGAGGTTGCTGAGTTCCTTGGTTCTGTCTTCAAAAGTTTCATTTCCCTTCCTTCTGCTAGGAAGGTCAAATCTCAGACCCGAGTTCATTTCCAACTGAGCTCCCTGTGACTAGGGTTGAGTAGGAGCATCTGGGGTCTGGGCAAAAGTAAGGAAGGAGCAGCGGATGATCCAAATCCTGCCAAGAGTCGGTTATTTCCAGGTCATAGTACTAGTTTTAAAAGATAGCTCATCCATCCCAGCAATCAATAGGTTCTTCCTGGCTGTGTGTGACCAGCAGCTCCCCCCCCCGCCCCCCCCCCCCCCCCCCCGCAACCTCTCACGGAACAGAATGAAGTGTGAGGATGCATTTACTCATCCAGAATCCAGTTTTAGCAAAATTAACAAGAGTGTGGGGGGGAGGGGGGAGTTCTCCTGAAGATGGTCGCTAACCCTTAACTGTAAAATAATTTATCAGAAATTTATCAGGGATGGGCATACTTCCCGCGCTCTTGCCTGCTGTCCCTTGTTTAACCACATTAAACAAATTGACCACTTTGAGAAGTCTTAATGCCATTCAGTCCGATCCTTCTAGATAGCCTTGGACCAGAGTTTTTCTGCCCTTCTCCATAAATGTAGATAAAAAGGAAAAAGGTTGAGTGGGGACTTAAAGGGATTAGGAGAGGTCAGGATCTAGTAACAGGACTCTAGGCCTAAGCTCTAAGTGTTGGGGGTCTAGCCAGAGAAACATCAAATCGAACTTACCGTTCTCCTCGACTTATATATCATTTAAAACATCGCTTGCCTGCTCAGCTGCTGGCCAGAGAAGTTCCGTGGGCTTACCTGAGTTTTACCCAGGGTGTCTGGATGCGAAGCGTTCTAACTAGCTTGGGAGCCAAACAGTAGGGATCTCGCAGTGCGGGCTCTGCCCAGCAGCCTCGAACCTGACCCGACTGCCTCCTGTGCCCCCACAGGCTCCGAGAAGTCGTTAAGCCGCTCTCTGGACGAAGTTCAGCCCTACACCCTGCCTTTCAAGCCCTATGCGTGGAGCGGCTTCGCAGGGTCCGACCTGCGGCACCTGGTGCAGAGCTACCGGCAGTGCACCGCCTTGGAGCGCAGCGCAGGCCTGAGCCTCTTTTGCGAGCGTGGCGCCGAGCCGGGGCCACCCCGCCGCGATGTACGGCCCTGAGCCGGCGGCGGGTGGAGCCGGTGCGGGGCCACCTAGGAGCTGCGGAGCCCCAGGAGGAGGCAGCAGTGGCGCAGGCCTGGGGCTCTACGGAGACTTCGGTCCTGGGGCGGCCGGGCTGTATGAACGACCGAATGCAGCAGCCGGCCGGCTGTACCAAGACCGCGGCCACGAGATCCACGCAGACAAGAGCGTGGGCGTCAAGGTAGAGTCAGAGCTCCTGTGTACCCGCCTGCTGCTGGGCGGTGGCTCCTACAAATGCATCAAATGCAGCAAGGTGAGGCTCCTGCACACCTGGCCTCATCAGCCCTGTGCCTGCGTCCCCAGCCCGTGACCCTCCAACGTCCACACCCCCAGACCTCCCTCAGCAGCCTCTCCCTGGCCCCACTTGCCCCCAGGTGTTCTCCACACCGCACGGGCTGGAGGTGCACGTGCGCCCGGTCCCACAGCGGCACGAGACCATTTGCGTGCGAGATGTGCGGCAAAACTTTCGGGCACGCGGTGAGCCTAGAGCAGCACAAGGCCGTGCACTCTCAGGTAAGCTTGGCTTTGGGGACCTGCCTCTGCACTGGGGACCTTTCAACCCATAAGCGATAGATACAGCACCAGCCACTTTCCCATTGCCTCTAGACTCCTTTGGTGCCCCTGAAAAACGTGGGTGATAGAGGCCCGGGTTTGCAGCAATCTTAGATTGTGGTCGCACCTAGTGATGGAGTTGTGTTGGAAATGAGGAAGGTATGCTGCATTGTTGATGCATTGGCTTTACTGTTTATGCCCCCTTTATCCTTCCTGACTGGCAAGGAAGGGTCTCAGTTCACATACACAATGTTCAGTGTACATACTAGCCATCCATCCATCCATCCATCCATCCATCCATCCATCCATCCATCCATCCATTCATTCGTTTATAAGTAACTGTTGTCTAAGTCCAAGGCTTCAGGCACCCATGAACCATGTAGCACACCAGGTCTTTGTTGGATGCTTGTATGGTGATTAAAGAGAGGGAGATAAGCAAAATACTACACAAGTGGCTGTGACAACTGCCCATCTCCTCCCCCAAACACCTTAAGTGGCTGAGGTCCTATTGAGGAGGGTGGTGAAATCTGTCAATGGGTGTCAAAAATGCCCTGGGGTGTGGAGGGTTGTGGCTGGAAAGTGTTTTGGTAGAAAACCTGTTAATAAGTAGGTGTTGAAGGATGGGTGGAGGTTGAAACTAAATGGAGGGAGGGAGGGAAGAAGGGAAGGAGGAAAGAGGACTCCTGGCTTCCAGAAATCTGTCAGTGGTAATGACCTAGGACTGCAGAAGGAGTGATGCATTTCTCTCCCTCTCCCTTCCTGTCCCCTCTGCAGGAACGGAGCTTTGACTGTAAAATCTGTGGCAAGAGCTTCAAGAGGTCATCCACACTGTCTACACACCTGCTCATTCACTCAGACACCCGGCCTTACCCCTGTCAGTACTGTGGCAAGAGGTTCCACCAGAAGTCCGACATGAAGAAACATACCTTCATCCACACAGGTGACTTGAAGGGCCTGGGCATATAGGAGGTTCTTGGAGGCCAACATGACTCTCCTTGTGTACTCTGGTCCCAGTGGTGGTAGATGAGTTCTCCCCCAGAGGGAACTTTGGTTGGCATTGGGTCTGAAGGACTATCTTCCTCTGTGCTAACTTATCAGTGGTTTGACATCAAGCTCTCCCAGATACTGTTCTTTGGTCCCATTTTAGAGGTGGGGAATTGGAGGCACAGAGGGATTGTATAACTTATCCAGGGTCACATGGGGCTCAAGTTCAGGTCTGTTGGTCTGAGCTCTCCAATGTTTATAGTCATGACTTGTTTGTTGTATTGGACTTTACATTGTGGGAGCCAGGAACACTTCTGTTATTTGTTGTTCTTTTCAAAACATTAATTCCATTCCCTAACAGTGGCAATTCCTAACTTATTACAATGCTTTAAAAATACCCGAATGTTTCAGATTGTCCATTTCCTTTGGTCTTTTCCTGCTGCTTCACACAGTAAAATGGGGTCCTTTTATTACCCAGCCATCAAGTGATCTATCAAAGTCACTGTGAGTACATCTCAGTGCTCCAGCTTCCAGTCTGGGACTCCTTCAGGTGCAGTTGGGTTCTTGTGAACTAAAGTGAGTCTCTTGCCCTAAGAACATTTCCTGTAATACTCAATATGATAGTTACATGACACCACAACCTCTGACTTTACTGAAGGTCATGAGTATCTCTTTAAATCAAATCACACCTGGGCATGATGGCACATGGGAGGTAAAGAGACAGCCACATCCCTAGAGATGGAGACTAGCCTTGGCTACATAATTAATTGTAGGCCAGCTAAGGCTACATAGTAGTGTCCTGTATTTTTTTTAAACAGTAAACAAATACATAAAAAGTAAAATATCACAGTGTCTTCCAGGAACTCACAATTGATGTTTGTAAACATTCATCAGCAGTGTAGGCATTTGTATCAGAGAACTCAGGAAAACCTCCCTTTGATCATGCTCCCTTGCCCAAAATTTCCATTTATAAGTTGTTCAAAACATCTATCAAATGTCGGGCAGTGGTGGTGCCCACATGCTTTTAGTCCCAGCACTCCAGAGGCAGAGGCAGACCAATCTATAGAGAAACCCAGCCTCAAAAAAAAAAAAAAAAACAAAACCAAAACAAAAAAAAAACAAAAAGAGACTTACTAAAATGAAACTAGAATCTTGACTGAATGCTAAACATTTATATTATGGCTAAAATTCATTTCTCAAATATGTTTGATTCTAGAGGATCAGGGGAAGTTTTGTTGTGAGTCTTTATCAGGAGATCTTAACTATGAAGAGAGAGGGAAGAACATAAGGAAGGTTCCTGAAAGCAGACACTTTTTTGTTTGTTTTCCCTCCCAAGGCCAAGTCCCAGCTATAGAGCCATGGGAAGATTATTTGGATAACCAGTGCACAAGGCAGGGGAAGACAAAAGCTGTTGCTTTTCTTTCTTTTGCCTACTCTTAAAAAATTTCCCTACTGTGCCTTTTATCTACTGATCTGCAGCAAACAGTTGTTGGGATTTTAAGGATCCTGTGATTTAAAACCTCAAAGAAAGGAAGAAGGTAAAAGAATAGACAACCTTAAGAAGTGATTTTTTGGCTCTAATGTGGATTAAAAAAAATTAAGACATTGGACAAACCTGTGTTCTTCAAGAGCTAGAAAGATGACAGCTTCCCTGGCCACACAAAACAACACCCACTTGGAAACTCAGATTTGAAAACTTCCTCTGACGAAAGCAGTCATAGGGTCTGTAGGGCAGCCCCTCCCACCTCCTGTTGAACATCTGCTGGGGGCCCTGTGCTTCTAAAAGTCAGGCGGGCAAGTCCTAGGGGTGGATTCAGCTGGGGAGCACAAGCACATGGCCTCTGCTCAGTTTCCGTTTAGCAGGAAACCGTTTGAGACTTTTGGCTGGGAGCCTCTACTCAAAAAGTCTCCCTTCCACCTGGTGCACCAGTGTCTTACTGGTACCAAGTTGCAGGCCAGGAGTTGGTTCATGCTGCACCCATCACCCTCCAACATCTTGAAGGTCTTAGCCAGCTGCTAGCAAGAACATGTGGGTAGCAACGGGTCCCTCCCAGCTTTATCATAGGCTCCATACTTCCTGCCCTTGGTCTTCCATCCTTGCAGGTGAGAAGCCCCACAAATGCCAGGTGTGTGGTAAAGCATTCAGTCAGAGCTCCAACCTCATCACTCACAGCAGGAAGCACACGGGTTTCAAGCCCTTTGGCTGTGACCTGTGTGGGAAGGGCTTCCAAAGGAAGGTGGATCTCAGGAGGCACCGGGAGACACAGCACGGAGTCAAATGAGTAACTTGACCTTCTGGGACACCAGCTGTGAACACTACTGTTGAGGACACCTTCCCTGCCTGCCCCTCGCTCAGGCCCTGAATCCAGTGTGCAAAGTTCACTATGGCTGTTCCCCTTCACCTTTCTTCCCAAAGCTGCTGGAAGAGATGAACTCCCTTTTCAAAGGTCAGCTCCGAGTGGGAACCACAGCTTTGGGCTTCCCTACAAGCTGAAGATAAGGATCCAATGAAATCACACGCCTTCCAGTCCTTCCCTTTTCTGCCCAGTCTAACAGGCAGGAAAGAACTCTGGGCAGCTGCTAACAGGAGGCATCACCTCTTAAACTTTGGATGCAGCTGATGCTCCATAATTTAGAAAGAACAGCAGTACTCTGTTCTTCTTCTGGGTAGCCAGCGGACCCTTTTCTCCTCCCAAGAAAACTGGTTTAGGGAAGGGACCTCATTTCCCTTGAAATCACCAGGTTGGAGGAAGCTGGGACAGTGGACTTGGTGATGAGAGGGAGTCAGAGATCCTCTGTGGTGCCATCAGAGGAGGTAGAACTGTGGGTTAGTTTCTGGGAACAGCATGTCTTTCTTTCATTTATTCAACAAGTCTTTATTGACTACAGTAAGGGACCATGCTAGATCCTGGGGAGCCAGAGACTAAAGTCACCACCGCTGTGCCTCAAAAGCTAGAGACTGTGTTCTTCTCCTCCAAGGGGTTTCTGAGAAGGCCACACAAATACTCAGACTTCCTTTTGACTCTTTTGGAGCTTTTCAAGTGCAAACAAAAAGCAACTGGAGGGTTGTTTGAAAAATTCATGAGCAAATCCAGTTTTTATAAGATGTCTGGGCTGGTAGATGTGGGGCAAAGGCTGTGACCTCAACTCCTGCCCCTTGTGTATCAGCTAGGGAAAAATTAGTATTTCTACTGTGAGGGTTGTAAATGTGTCTAAATCTCCCTGAGTGTGTTATGTATGTTAGATATTTATTAGAATGTTTAATTTAATAAAGTATTATGACTATTACAAATTGCCTTTCATTGGGTCAGGGAATTCAGGTGAAGGCCACTGGTGTTTTAATTTATTTTTTTCTGTTGGGGAAGCTGGGACTGGAGGACTTCCAAGGAATACCAAAGAGCAAATGCCTGTTGCTCCAGTTTCATATTTTTCTCTTTCTTTTATGACTTATTTCTTTTAAAAAGAAGATTTGTTAGTATTTCTAAGTCATGTGTCTATGTGTCATTGTTTGTGCATGGATGTATGGGTATATGTATTCACTGGGGGTAGAGAGGGAATTGGATCTCCCAGGACTGGAGTAGTTATGAGTGGTTGCAGGTTGCCAGACATGTGTGGTAGGAAGGTAGGAACCAAACTCAGAACCTTTGGAAAAGCAGGGGGCAATCTAACCTGTCAAGCTAGCTCTCCAGCCCTCCAACCACCCAACATCAATCAATCTTTCTCTCTTTTATTTCAAACAGGATCTCACTATATCTATATCGTGAACTCATAGAGATCTGTCTGCCTCCTAATTGCTGAGATTAAAGGAGTGTGCCACTACTCCCAGCTAATATGTTTTAAATGAAAATTTAGGAGGTGTGTAGCCTTGTAGAGTCCTGGATAATCCCATAGGAACATCAGTTCTTCCCACTCCAAAAATTTCACCTTAAAAAAAAAAAAAAAGAAATGAGGAAAAAAAAAAATAGGACATAGGCTCCTAGACAAAAATCATAGGCCTTTGATTTAGAGATCTGAATGTTTTAAAAATATTTTTCTTATTTGTGTGCATCTCTGTGTGTTATAAATGTATATACATGAGTGTGCAGGGTGCATGAGGTAGCTAGAAAAGGGTGTTGGAGGCCTTGAAGCTGGAGTTAAAGGTACTTGTGGACTGTCTGACATGGGTGCTGGGCCCAACTCATATCCTCTATGAGAGCAGCAAGTGCTCTGAACTCCTGAGCCATCTTTTCAGCACAGATCTGAGTATCACTGTAGGCTCTGCCACTGATACATCCTGTGACATGACCATAAAACATAGATGTGGTCCTACCACCCCCATCTGATTCTGACTACTCAGATTTTATGGAGACTAGACAGGAGCGTGGGGAGGGAGGGAGAGACTGATTGACTAACTGCCATGTTGAAGGCAAATTATAAACCTAAAATGTGTGAGGAAGAGTGAAATGGGACCTGGGTTTGTCTTAGGGTTACTAATTCTGTGATGAAACACCATGAATTAAAAACAGCTTGTGGAGGGAAGGGCTTGTTTCTTGGGCTTACATAGCCCAAGCCATATTCCGTTGAGGGAAGCCAAGGCAGGAACTCTGATGGAGGCAGAAGCTGATGCACAGACCTTGGAGGGCTTGCTCAGCCTCCCTGCCTTCTTTAGAAACCAGAACCATCAGCCAGGGGTAGTCCATCAATCATCAATTAAGAAAATGCACCATAGGCTTGCCTACAGCCTGATCTTATAAAGGCATTTTCTGAGGGTTCCCTCCTCTGAGATAACTCCAACTTGTGTCAAGTTGACATAAAACTAGCCAGCACGGGGTTGTTTTGTCTCTGTCCCATCAGCAGGTTCTTTACAAGAGTGAAACCAGAATAAGGTCCTGGCCTTCCCTACTACCTATTCTCTGAAGGCTTCCAGACTCGGCCCATGTGACCCAGGGGAACCACCAGCACTGTCCATTTCCATTCAAGTCAGCATGTGTTTGGAGACACAGCAGTAAGGACAAGTCTCATGGAGCTCCATCAGCAGTAGGTAATGGGGAGCCACCTGCTTCCTCCTGCCACCAGGAATCACACAAGACTTTCTGTGTGGGAGTTCAGGGGTCTTCGTTGCCCCTTCTCCCAGATCTATGTCCTTGGCCATCCTTATTTGCTTTCCAAGACCAGGTCTTTCCATGTCAGTTTAACTCTCATTCTGAATAAACTGAGTTTATTCCTGTATGAGGTTTGAGAGGGTGATGAGAAGTCCAAGGGTAGGGGGATTCAGTTCACATCATCCTGAGAGGCAAAGCCCATACTGAATGAAGATATCTTGCTCACAAGTCAGTGTGTACACTGTCTGTTAAGTTCCAACCTGATTGGAAAGTAAAATTATAAGGAAGGGGAGTAGAATTGATTGAAACCCATTGGTTCTGTCTCCCGCCCCCCCCCAACCATCCCTGGTGACGTTTGGAATATTTGTTTCACTTTCATTTTCCCATGTTTATGCTATTAGGAGTCTCTCTCTCCTTTTTGTTTGTTTATTTCGAGATGGGTCTTGCTGAGTAATACAGGCTGGGTCTGAGCTGGCAAGTCCCCTGCTTTAGCAACTCAGGTAGCTGGGATAGCAGACATGTTCCACATTGCTTAGCATAGAAATCATAATTTTGATGTTACCTATATGCTTTTATTTTTTTTCAAACTGGAAAAATATTTATCTCAATAACCCTCAGTTTAGAATCAAAACAAGTTACTGTGCCAGTAGCCCTGTGAAATTTGAAGATTGTAAATATCTCCCTTAATGTTATTACTTGGCTCCATTAAAAATGGATTGTGAATATTCCATGCCACATTATTCATGAGGTGGGCTCTGTGCCTTTTTGTCTGCCAGGGTAACCGTAGAAAGGGTAATGAGAGACACCCAACACACCTTTGTTTCTTTCACTAAATTTTTAATAACACCTCCAGCTAGCCAGTTGGTGAAGCTCAGCTCTTGCACAAAAGTGGAAAAGCACAGCTAACTCTGAGAAGCTTGGTCTTTCAGTAGCTAATTTGAGTCTGTGTTCATCTACACCAGGTGCGATTAAATTACCTGAGCTATCAGGATTCAAGCACAGTGAAGGAGAATTCCATCTGATTGATTTGAGATACAAATGGAACAACTGAGTTCCCCAAGCACCGCCTTCCTTAAAGGGACAGCAGAGGATGGCTCCCCTTTCAAGGGTGGCTGCCATGGCCCTTGAAAATTGGGTGTGTATAGTGATTTGACCCAAGTGTGTGCCTGTTTGTTTAACCTGATCATTTAGCAGATGTGAGTTAATAGAAAGAAAACCCAAAGGGTTCAATCTGCACTTCCGAATTATTGCCAAAGTCAAAATTTATATGAAGTTCATCACATATTTATTAAAAAAAACCAAAAAACCAAAACTCCCTTATCCATTAAGCCAAATCTAAAATGTAAAAATTTCAAAGACACTTCACCCAAGTCTTTTGTAACTTTAAAGTTCATGGGTATATTTATAAATTGTTTTTCAAACCAATACCCACAGGTTTATCTATTTGTGCTGTATAAACACACGCAAATACACACATTATGGTCAGGGTACTTGTAATTTATATCTAAGTGCTTCATTTATTTACTTACCGTATGGACATACACTTAAATAAATTTCACAATGAGAATTCAGATCTTGTTTTTATTTGTTTTGAGAAGGGTTAGCACTGAGCTAGCAATATGCCTCTTGAGGGCACCACTCCTTGCTTGGACAAATTTTATGAGTAAGTTTTATTGACATCTTAGTATTTAATTAGAAATTCTATAATTTTGAAGACTTAATTAGGAAAAATGAAGTTTTAGAAGTGTGGTGTTACTCATTCTTTAAGCAAAGACATTTAAGCACACTGGAAGTTACAAAGAAGAAATAATGATAATTTTAGGTGTACCCACCATTCTGTTGTATTTACTTCATGCTTTATTTTATTCATTTAAAACTTTTGTCGTGGGGGATGTTAAGGTCAGAGAAAAACTAAATTATAGAGTCATCTCTGCCTTTAAACTGTAGATTCCAACATCAGGCTTGGTGGCAAGCTCCATGACTAGCTTTATTTTTGAAATGGAATGTTATAGATAGGATCAAATGTCACTGGACTCTGCCCCCTCTCTTCCAGTCACTCTGCTTTCTCCTCAGAGGAATCCACATACCTACATTGAGAGATAGAACTGTCAGGAATAATGCATTGCTTTAATTTCTTTGTATTTCCATAGGTTTTATATTATTATTTAGCATATTCCAACCCCATAGAAATGGCATCTTGGTTTATATGTCCTTCTATATTTTTACTT